CCTCGAGAGCTACTGTCCTGTAGCTTTTAGATGCGTCCTTGTTCTGACACACCTGAATCAAATGAATGGCTTGTTATCAGGCCTTTGCCAAACTTGATGGCATACTGAAGAGGTAATCAAACCATTTGATTCAGTTGTGTTGCAGTAGAGATGCATCTAAAAGCTGCAGGACAGTAGCTCTCGAAGACTGAGATTGGGCACCCCTGGTCTATGGGAATGTGACCACATGGCTTCCTCTCTCTGTCGCCGCTTTAAAGGCCTTTATGTTCACTTTATGGGCTCAATTGTGAGTCCACTTTGTACATTATGGTCATTTTAACAGGCAAAGAAGAGTCTAGGGTTTGGTCATTGTCTAACTATTTATCAATCACAAGTCAATTTCTCAATCAGATCCGCCACTCGCTCATCGCATCAGGCATCAAAACACGGAAAGAAAAGCTTAACTTCAGGATTCTGAACTGGACTTAACTAACTAGTGGCTGACATCACGGTGGCTACATCCATCGGTTTTTCTAACCACGAGGAAGTCGGACATTCTGTAATCCTTTATACAAAAAGTCTAGTTAAATTTTTGAGACTGTTATTGATTATGAGTCTTAAAGTATAACATTTGGACAACAGGGGGTAACTTTATCTTTCACTTTTCTTTTGTCTTCCACTCCTTTCACAGTGGAAGTGATTCATTTTATTTATACTTCTACTGACCCTTTCAATCTTCTTTCTATTAGTAAAAACTGAATAATAGGAACAGTTAGGTAATAGGATCATTGACGAGCTTAACATTTGTAGCTTATGTTTCTAAAGTTGTCTCATGCATAGACCTGTTGGGGCCAAAGTTCTAATATCCTCCATGCATGCATTCTTCTTTTGCTTATCTAATCCAGAGTCACGGGGTGGGGAGGCTGAAGCCTGTCCAAGAGGCAGGATAAAGGGTTAGGGTTTGGCCAGTCTGTCGCAGGGCTAACAGGGAGAGACAACCATTCACACCTATGGGCAATTTACAATCTACTAACCCCACTAACTACATGTCTTTAGAGCGCTGGAGCTGGCGTATCCACAAAGAACCCACGCAGACACAAGGACAACATGCAGAGAGAGACCCGTCCATTTGAAATAACCACAAATATATCTCAGTTGGGCTTTGATGAAGCCATTTCCACTTGTTCCATCTGAGACATTACACTATAGATTCGCTGTGGTCATCATCCTGTCGAGGGGTCCTTTAACATTTCAACTTCATCTTTCAGACAGATGGACTTGCTCTATCCTCAAGCACTCTGTGTTATGATCCTCAGCCCTCAAATCAGCAAAGCCCAAGGCATAGCATTTCACCACCAAAAGCTCAACAATTATTCTCAACAAAAGCTGTCTTTGGTCTGTGCCAAGCATATCTGCTTCTGCTATGGCCAAATAACTCTTCTGACTCACCTCTCCAGAGCACATTTTGCAATAGTTACACCTGCAGACCAGGCAGGATGAACGGCGCCGATTCTACTGGATCATTCGTCACACATTAATTAGAGTTGGGCATTGTTTGGAATTCTATGGTAAAGATGTCCGCAATTATAGGAAAACTTTGACTCAAGGTCTAGCTGGGACTTGCAGCATTCCCCATGGAGCAGTTGGCAACATTTATCTGCATCGCACATGAAAATTACAGGAGACTACAAGGACAGTCTTCCTGTATTTGGGATGAAAAATTCCACAAAAAGAAGGCTGGTTGTGTTGATCCACATCCACACACATGCACACGCCAAAAGGGTCTGATTGGAACCAGGCTAAGAGAGGCCTAAACCTTGGTTGAAATGGAAATGAGAGATAAATGTGGACAGGTACAGAGGTTAAGGGTGAAAGGTCACCGGCATAACTATCCCACATCTTCAGTGCAGAAACAGGAACCTGTGGACAAGAAGTGGTCTTGTTGCTGTTTGCAGTTGAGGTTAAGGGTTAACAGATGAATGTAGGTCAATGGACTGGCTCTGAAGTTTCTGTGTGTGTGTGTGTGTGTGTGTGTGTGTGTGTGTGTGTGTGTGTGTGTGTGTGTGTGTGTGTGTGTGTGTGTGCATATATGTAGCATGTATGAGCATATGTGGTTCCATTTTTTTCCAGCTCATGTCTATGTGATGTGTATGTGTGTGTGACCTGCTCTTTGTTCCTGTGCTCGGTGCAGTAAGGAGAGTGGACCGTTGACGAGGATTAATGCCCAACATATGGCAACCCTACGGGACACACACACACACACACACACACACACACACACACTGCAGTCATTACTCTGAACAAAGAACTGTAAGGCTAATGAGAAGGCGATATCATGTGTCCTCTATACACTCACACACACACACTGCATGAATTCATGTGGATGCGCACAAACACACTCTAATGTTGCTTACACATGGATGGATGCAGATGAGCACACACACACACACACCTGGTACTGTAACATGTATCCATTGTGTGTATGTGGGAGTTGAAAGGTAGCAGAGGGTTGTTGATGGAAAGGTTTTAAGGTTTGAATGCAAACACCTGCGCGCGTGTGTGTGTATCTGTAAAAGAGAGAGAACAGGGAGTTTATTGCAAAGATGAGTGTGTGTGTGTGATTGAAGGAGGACGAGGTGAAGCAGAGTTCAGAGGAAAAGTGAAGGTTCATGTTTTCATTTCTTCATGCTCCTCTGCCTCTCTCTCTCTTTTTTTCGGTTTTTGTATGTGTGTTTGTGTGTGTGTGTGTGTGTTTGTGTGTGCACGTCTTTTTTCTCACATACAGATCACACCCAAAAACATTTGCAGACGTTTTCTCTCTTTTAGCACACTTTCTCTTTTCTCTCTTGCTCCGCACCTCCCAGTGGGATTTGACCGATATTCAGTACTTGACACGTTCCTGGAAAACCGCACAGCCACTCTGTAGTCTCTGCTGTTGTAGTAGCTGACCCGTCTGTAAGCCCACACCCTTGTTAGGTGCTTTTCAGACTTGTACCCACTTTCCATTTATCTGATGGCTTCATGTTTGAATAACAGCCCTGATGACTTTTATGTAAAAGTCATGATGACAGTCGTACTAATTGGAGAAGGTGTGTTACCTGTAAAACTGTATCTCCAAAATGAGGTTAATTCTGTATTCATATCTGGACACTATGAATGATATCTACGCTAGGGCCTAAAGACCATTTACTAGGGAAAAACAAAGCTGTTTCTCAGTATATCACTAGAAACACAACTTAATGCACTGAGGGCCACAATTAAACATACAAAATTATGATTTCATAAGTTGGAAAAGCATGTGCATATGTTTCACTTTTCTATATCAACAGCTGGTATGAATAAAAACAGTAATATTTGTTTTTTCTTTTATTGATGTACAATTAAAAACCAAATACATTGCTGTCATGTGTAGATCTTATCCTTTTAAGGCATTATTCTTAGTGTTTTCAAGGTCTTTGCAAATGACATTAACATAACAGAGCAGTGCTGCTTTTGTTGGGACAGTGTTGGTATAAAGACTATAAAATCCAACTAAAAGGATTATTTAAGAACACTTTTACAATCACAAAACAGTGCGTTAGTTATCTGTGTATTGCCCCCAGGTGGAGATACAAGACTAGTGTCCCATCTAAAAATGATGACAGAAACTTATAAGCTGGATGCATAAATTTCAGATTTTGTTTAAAAAAAAAAGTTTTATTAGAAGTTTGACCCTCCAGGTTTTTTAGCGTAAGTACTGGAGTCACTTTTCAAATGACTTTGTTAAACTGTGGTTGCACGACAGCTACAACACAAGTGGCTCAGTATTTCTTGGTTTAACTGTCAGCAAGCAGATGAGCTCCATTCTACTTATTTATTTAATAAATTTTTGACGGGGTAGATTGTGTACCACACATTTGCCATATTTAGCACTGAAGTCGTTTCCCTTTGTTTCAAAGTCAAGTAATAAAAAGCTAGTTAGCTATACAAGCTAACGTTAGTGCCTTCTGTTAGCACAGGGAAAGTCACACTTTTGTACTTTCATTACAGAAATCTTAGGTTTGGAAAATAAAGTAGAGTGTACCTGCTTCTATTTTTTCTAATCTCATGCAGTGGCACTATGTCGAAGTCTTGAACAGGTTTTATTTTTTGGCCTCTCGCTCTCTCTCTCTCTCTAGGTGTAAATGACTTTGGATGGCCATCTGTTACTTAGCTACCCTGCAGAGAGTTGGCCTGCATGCGCACCTCCTCTGTGTGTGTGTGTGTGTGCGTGTGTTTGTGTGTGTGTGGCTTCCTTTATGTTTAGCCGCATGTGTTCAGTTACAGTATTCTTGTTTGAGTGTGTTTATTTATGCCTACGTGCACATGCATAATACAGTAGGTTGTGTGTGTGTGTGTGTGTGTGTGTGACAGAAATAGGGGGGTTGAGAGAGATGCTGGAGTGTGTTGAGTGTTTATTCAGGTTCACTTGCTCATGTAGAACATGTATCCCAGCTTATGTATGTAAAAAGAATGCTGTTTTACATGAGTGTTAGCATATTTGTTCCTCCTCTGTCTCTCCGTGAAGACTGTAAACTCCTTAAAGTCCATCGGCAGCAATAACAATCTGCATATCTAAACAACATTTAAGTTTTCTGCTGAGTTTCCTTCCAGGAGCCTCTTCACAGGCAAAAGTCTGTCAGCCATACTCAGGATTTCAGAAACACTTGGTGGACATGAGACTTTGTACTTCATAGTCTTTCAGTTGCTCAAAGGGCAGGATGAAATATGTCGGTGAGGCAGCTTTTACTTTTTTGCTCGGAGTCCTTGGAAACTTGTCTGCCCGACACAGCTGACAGTGTTGATATCTTTATATGGAAAACAAAGACCTCAGATGTGAAACTGATATACATGAACCTAAGTGCTTTGAATGATACCGTATTGTATCATGTTTGATGCAGATGGTCTGAGAGGCGTGCACAGATTATAATGGCTTCATTTTTCTGCACTCAACCCTGGAAAATCTTAGAAACTAATCTCCTTTTCTCTCTCTCCCCCTCCAGCTCTCGCCCAGGCCGTCCTCCCAAGCGTTGTTCTGGTGCAGGGATCCAGGAAAGCCCCAGGCTGCTTCACCCAGGCCTCCCCGGCCTGCTGTCCCCCAGCCTGCTGTCCCACACTGGTAAGAGAAAGAGACCGAGACATGAATGATTTTCTCGTTTTTAATGCATCTTATTACCTTATTGGGATTTATTTTGAGTCCTTTTTTTGTTGTTCCAGCAGCTTCTGAGGACTCTGTGATAGTGCCCTCTACTGGTCAAAGTAATTATGACAGAAAACAGAGAGGAAGTTGTGTAGGGAGGAGGTAGGGGTGGATGGATGGGTCAACAACTGCTGTTTGATGCAAATTACTTTCAATAAATACTCATCTAACCCAACCAAACACAGGTGGAAAAATCTGGGATCGCATACAAGCATAAACTGTGTTGATTTTTAGATTATTTCCAGACTGAAGAATTTCAGATTCAGTGACTTGTAGGGACTGAAATCGTCTCTTTGATGCTTAATTTAAACATACAATGCTTTTCATGCTAACATGTCCCGCGACCTGATGTTGTAAGTCTTGTATGGTTTAGGACCAAAATACATCAGTGACCTCCTGACCCAGTATGAACCTTCCAGATCCCTCAGGTCATCTGGATCCTGTCTTTTATCAGTTCCCAGAGTCAGAACCAGACACGGAGAAGCTGCATTCAGCTTTTATGCTCCTTATATCTGGAACAAACTCCCAGAAAGCCTCAGATCAGCTGAAACACTCAGTTTATTTAAATCCAGGTTGAAGACTCACTTATTCTCAGCTGCATTTGAATAAAGCACCAAATCCACACTTTTAAGCTTAAATTTCAAAACTTACACTAACTACTGATCTTATCTATTTCTGATTTTATCTGTTTTGATTTTATATACTGTTTTGTTTGTTTGTTTGTTTGTTAAGTGGGCTTAGAGCTCTGGGTAGCTCCCCAGCTGGGTCTAGACTGGGTCTAGAGAGTATTTTAAATTCAGGGAATTTAAAATAGAAAGTAGCTCGTCCACAGAAGGACTGGTAGCTCCCCTTATGATAAGGGTTCAGATCGCGCGAACAGGTGTGAAATGTGTGTGTTTAGTTAGTTTGTTTGTTTGCTTGTTTTAATCAATTTTAAATCATGCTTTTTATTTGTTTTTGTTTCTAATGTCTCTGTAAAGCACTTTGAATCACCTTGTTGTTGAATTGTGCTATACAAATAAATTTGCCTTGCCTTGCCTTGACTTGCCTTTCCATGAAAATGGAGAGCACAGGTAATGAGGCGGGTTTTGCAGATGACAGGTCACATACAATGCAACGTAAGGAGGATATTTTCTTCCTTTCATACAAGATGCAGTGATGAGTGACGACTTCATCACCTCTACCACCTGTGGTAAAGCACAGCGATACACTGGATTGCTTCCATACCAGCGGTGTAAGAGCAAACAGGAAGATAACTGAAAGATTGTGGGGAAATCTGTGGGAAAAGTTGTTTTTGTGCCTAAAACTGCAAAGATCTCTAAAGTGATCAATGGTTAGTAGGAAATGAATGTTCCTGTTAGCTTGGGCTGTGTAATTAGCTGGTCAGGGCTGTAGATTTTACGAATGCTGTGGGCATTTTTGCACTGAACTGGAAGAGAAAATTCAACTTTGCTCCTTTACAGCACTTAAAGTATTGGCTGAACACAGATTTTTGTTCACATATTTTTTCAGTCATTAGTCAAGGACATGCACTCAATGACCAGATGGACTTGAGTATGAGCAATAAAGGATTTTCTGGTGCATTTTCAGGAAGAACTAATGAAAAGCTCGGTGACCATTAGTTTCCATGAATTTCTAATTGGGTTTATGAGTATACCTAAAATTTGATTAAGAAATGACTTGTGTTCCCTTTTGTGTCATTAAGTTTGCACATGTTTATGAATACGTGGTCACAGGAACTTCAGTCGTGTTTTTTTAATGTGAAATATTATTTATGCATAGTCTTTACTTTGTTAATACTGCACAACAGTTGTCATATCAAAGTTCGTGTTTCCCCCTCGACCGCTCTAAATTTCGCTGCTGGTCGGTCCTGAACGGCTCGCGCTGGTCGGCTCACTCTGTTACTGCGTTTCCGTGTCTGTTTAATGGACCTAATGTGTTTCCCGCTCTGTGTTTGACACGTGTTTCAGTTTGCGAATTGGTGACAGCTGGTAGAGGGGCCAACTGCTGGCCTTTAATGGAAAAAAGTATCACATTGTTATGCTTATAACCTCCAGAGAAAATGACCAGTAATCCTCATAAAGCTGCGCACTGACACATTTCACTAATTTTGAGCTTTCACATTAACATCTACCATGAATCCCGAGCGGGCTGTATTTTAAGGAAACACTCATATGTTTTTTAAATTTTTTTGATCAAATGTGTAAACATCTCTGTAGTGCCTGTAGTGCTGTTTAAGCATCTAGATTGTGTGGATGCAAGTTGCCGAGTTGTAGAGATACGGACGTTGCTCTGAGTACTCACAATATGTTGCTCAGAGCACCATAAAATATATTTGTACGCTCAATAGGAATGTCTCCTTCCAGAAATCATGAGGTGTTTTTATGCGTACCCTGTTGTGAGCAGTTTCATGTAGAAACAGTTTTCTCCGTACCTTTTGCATCTGCCAACCAAAGAAGCGTGCAGATGGGTCACTCCGTTATCAGAGCAACCAAAAACGAAGGAGGTCCCCACTCGACCTCCTCAGAATCAGCTATTACAAGCATATTTAATGAAGCCATGTAAAATATAAAACAAGAAAAAAACACAGTGTGTCAGAGTATAGTAAATAATGTGGATCCATAAAAGAGAGCATCTGGGCAGGGCTGCAGCCCACCTTTTGGTGATCTGTGATGTGAAGTAACCAACACGCATCGGTACTCCGAATGTTGGAGCTCTTTTCCTCTATCCTCATCCTTTCTTTCTGAGCAATCGAGATGGCAAAGAAAACAAAATGAAAGGCTCCCTCTTTTTTCCCCCTCCTGTAGCCACAGAAAGTGGAAATGGAGGGAACGCAAAGGATAGAGGAGGGGGAGAAATGGAGAGAAGAAAGGAGGGATGTCGCCAGAGGAGGTAATGAAACCTAAAAATGACTGCCAAAGTACTGAGGAAAACATGGTTGGAGGGACCAAAGAGTGGGAAAAAAAGACGGAACCGTGGAAGAGGCAAGGAGTGTGACAAAAATGGCGCGATGGAAGATGGATAAACGAGTGGATGACACAACGAAAGAAAAAAACGGGTAAAGCGAAGGAGACGAGGAGGAGGAAAAAGACCTGCAGAGAAAGAGAAAGGGAGAGTGAACGAGTGCAGATTGCATGGTGGTATGATGAATGACACGTCTCTGGGGTCCCACTCCTCCATCTGTCCATCCTCCCCCCTCCTTCCCTTGCTGTGTCCCTCTTTTCTTCCCTTTCCCTTCTTCCTCAACTCGTCTCCCTCCCTCCTTCCTGCTCTGTCATCCAGGTTTTCATGTTCTTCATTTTTTAAGTCTCTTCTTTTCCTCCTGCCTGCATCTTCCTTACTTTATTACTTCCTACTTCTTTCACTCCCTTCTCTTCCCCCCCATGTCTGCCACCTTTCTCACTTTATTCTTTGCTTCCTTTATTTTGTCACTTTATCCTCTTCAATCTCCACTTCTTGTCTCTCCTACTCCTCTCCTTTACTTATTCTGCTATTCTACTTCCTGCTTTCCTTCTTTCCCCTCCTCCTTCTTTCTTCCTTCCTCCCTCCCCTTTTATTTCCTTCTCTATCTCCTCTCTATTTTCTTCCTCCTCTTTTGTCTACTCATTTTTGTAATTGCTTTCCTGTGCCTCCTCTTTCTTCCTTTTTGTTTCTCCCCCTCCTCATGCTTTAATTTCCTTATATCCTTTACTTTCTTCTGCTTAATTTGTTCTTGTAACCTTTCTATCTTCCTTGCCTTATTTTCCATCTTCTTCCATCCTGCTTCCTTCATCTTACTGTCCCCTACTTGCCCTCCATTTTCCTAACCTTTGTTTTCTTCTTTTCCTTCCTTAAACTTGCTCCTAACTCCTAACACACTTCCTATCCTCCCTTCTCATTTCCCTTCATTCCTTCACTCTTCCCTCCTTTTTCCTATAAGTTTTCCTCCATTTTCTTCCTTTCTCTTCTTGTTTTTTGTATCCTGCTTGATTGTCTCTTGCCTTGCTTCCCTGCTCTGTTCACATTTTTATTCCTAAACTCATTCCATTCATCTTGACTCTTCTTGTAAACTTTTCTATCCTTCACTCTTCCTTCTTTTTCTTAGTTCCACCATCCATACCTTGTCTTCCCCCCTTTCCTTTGTCTTCATATTCCATGATTTTCTTTCCATGTGCCACTCATTTGCTGCAGTTGTCTTCTTTCTTTCTCCATCATTCCTTTTTGCTTTCTTGCTCCCTACCCCATCCCTTCGTCATGCCCTCAGCGTCATTCTCCTCACCTTCTTTTTCCCGTCTTTGTATTCCTCCTTCATCCCCTCACAAGCTCTTAATTTTTCCTCACTTTCCTTTTTTCGTGTGCTGTTTTTGTATCCTCCTTGCTTCTTTCGTTCTCTCCTTCCCCCTGTTCCCTCTCCCCCAATTATGTCCTTTTTTTAAAAGAAATCCAAGCATCTTTCTTTCCCTCCTGCTCCCTCTATCAGCTTTCTTCTCTCTCCTTTGTCCTTTCTGCTTTTTTGGGGTCACTACCCTTCCTTCTCTTCTTCTGCTTTCTTTCCCTTCATTTCCTTTTTTCTTTAATTTGTCCTTTCCTCTTTTATTTCCAGCCTTTCTTTCCTTTCCCTTTCTTTCCTCCTTCCTTTCATTTTCCAGATCTTCCTCCTCCACCTCTTTTTCCTTCCTGTTGTTTCTTCTGTCATTTCTTCAACCCTGAATTCCCCCACGCTTTCCCTTTCTCTTCCTCTGCTCTTGCCTCCTTGACTGTCTCCTTCCATCTTTCCCCTCTCACCTCATCGTGGTCCCACACTAAACTTTCCTTCTCTCCTTCCTACCCTCATTTCAATCATCTCCTCTTTCCTTTCCTTCCACATTGTGAACCTCCTCACTTCTCTTCCTCTGATCTTCATTTTGCTTCCTCTTCATTCTCCACATATTTGCGTTTCG